GAACTCTTGGGGACAAGTCTTACTTCCCACATCTGAAGGTCAAGAAAGTTTCAAAAAAGTTTTAAAAGGTTTAAAACTTGTGGGAACTAAGAACTAAGAACTAAGAATGCTGTTGGAGAGTCTGGGGGAATCTTAGTTCTTAGTTCTTACTTCCAGAAAGTTTTAAAACTGTTAAAACTTTTTTGAAACTATTGTATGGCAATGTTTTCTGGAATTAAGATTGCTGTGGGAGAGTGTGGGGAAATCTTAGTTCTTAGTTCCAAAAAGCTTTAAAACTTTTAAAACTTTGTGGAACTCTTGTATGGCAAGGTTTTCTGGAACTCATTTTTCTCTGCGAGAGTCTTCTGGTAAACTTGCCTCACACTTGCCGACCCAGCTGCTCGTTTTGTAGATTTTAGACTCGTAGACTCCCTCAACTTGAGTCATCTTTCGTCATGCCGTCCTTTGCGGTGTTTGGAGATGTATCCATGTCCGGAGACAGTGCCCAGCTGAGCCTCCAAATTTCTGAGCCAACCATCGAGACGCCCAAGCTGGATTTCAAAGCTCTGTGGGAACGCATTCTGGCCGGCAACATTCCTGTGCACCCTTCACGTATCCCCCTCGACAGGAAGACTTTGGCCATCATGTGGACTGCGCATGAAAATTCACCCAGTTCCCCTGAGGAGGCGGTTGCTGCACCTCTCATACCAGTACCAGTTCCACGGCCGGCAAATGCCCCTCGGCGCCGCCCAACCTTCAAAAATCCATCTCCCGAGAAACGCTTTCGCAAGAAAGCCTCGCAAGAAGGAGTCCAGTCTGAAGAGCAAGTGGTCCACGGCCCCCAGCCTGCCGCAGCGCTCCCTGAAGATGCTGAGTTTGCTGCAGACGAAGAAGCTGCAGCAGATCTAGGCCTTAAGGACTGAGAGGTGTCCGTTTTTGTCAGCATCGGGAAAAGATCCAATGCACACGAGCGTGTAAAAAAAGGGTACTTGTGTCAAAACTTTGTGTGTTGCTTTTTCTTCATTGCTTGAAATTCACAAACGTTCACGGCAGGTTGCATTCCTGTGTATTCACGAGCCGTTTCAACAGATCAGTTCAGAAGCTCCCATACCTCCTCTTGCATCCCTTGATGGCGAAATTCAACCCTTTTCCCGCGCCAAAAAAAGGTAAGGCTCGCATGGTGCAGAAGAGGCCGGCATCAACCAAAAGCAAAGCGTGGAGCCAGGTGCCCTACACGAGGGACGAGAGTGCTGTGCAGCCCCGTGGTCTTCGCATGGACCAATCCAAATGGAAGCGCAGTCTCTTGGACCTCGTGCGCGCTAATGACAAGGGCATTGTGGAGAAGCTTGTAGCAGACAAGATATTGGTCTCATGGGAAGGTAAGCAATGTCCCAAGTGCGAGCACGGCACCCTCTCGAAGCTGAAGCCTGGGCCACGGAATGGAAGCTTGAAGCACAAGTGCAACGACTGGCGCTGCAAAGCTTGGTTGAATCCACATTACTTGCACCCTCTCTTCACTGAATGCAAGGGGCCCGAAGGTCATCCACTCCAGATTCAGAGTGCTTTGCTCTCTCTCCTCCTCAACAAGGTTTCCAATGGAGTCATTCACAATGCCTTGCGTGTCAACCACAAAGCCATTGAGGACATGCGCTCGAAGCTGGCAGCTGGAAGGAAAAAGTGTGTGGAGGCAACTGAAAAAAATGGCCTTTGGAAATTGCAAGACGTGGGTGGATGTGGAGGGAGATGAGACCACCTTTGACAAGAAGCCGGTGAAGAAGGATGGCAAGAATCTCATGGAGTGGGAGCAGTGGGTTGGAATGGTGCAAAGGGGGCAACCGGACACTTTGATTTTGCACCGTCTACGTCCTGAACTGACAGAGCCACGGGCGCCTGGTCCCGGCGCCATTCGCAAGCACGAGTGGCAGCCGATTGCTGAAAAGCATCATGAGCGGTAGGAAATTGATTTTCCACACTGATTCAGCTCGAAGCTATAATATAAGCTTCGTCTGCCTATGGTTGTCCATGACCATGTAGTGCATTGTAAAAAGCGCATCAAGGTCAAGGGCAAATGGGTGCGGATGGCTCCCAAATATGTGTCTCTGCGCAAACACAAGTTGCCAGATTCAAGGAAAGTCATCAAGGTGAAGGCAGGCACCCAAATCATTGATCGTGTTTGGCGGTTCTTTAAGTCTCGCCTGGCTTTGAACCAACATTCCAAGGCAGGCTCAGTGAGGCTCCGGGAGCAGATCCGGTCCATCCAGTATGAGTACTGGAATCGGAATAAGGAATATAAGGATCTGTGGGTGGCTTCCGGTGACCTCTGCACATGGTTGACACAAAAGTTTGTCAAACCAGTTGAGTGAAGCACCTTCGATCAGGGATTGAAAAAGTCTGTGCTGGCTGTGTCTGCTTGTCACGTAACAAATAGGACTTCTCTTGCGTCTGCTTCTCAGAAGGCTTCTCAAGTAACAAGTCGCAAGCTTTAGCATGCAACTGTAAGTGTATCGTCTGCTGTCATCTGGTAAGCTTTAGCATGCAACTGTAAGTGTATCGTCTGCTGTCATCTGGTGCATCCTACGCAATACATATGCAAGTGTCTTTTGGCTGTGACATGAAAATGCAGTCATCTGGTCTATCTGCACTTGAAGAAAAACGGGGGTACTTGGGGGGGGGTAGCATATATATATATATATAGTATTATATCATATATATATATATACTTATCTTATATAATCATATCCAAAGATATCAACCATAATTGTCGTCATGTTCAGTGAAAGGTGACTTGCACCCGACCTGACCCAGCAAGAACTGTGCAGAGCGTCCGTCCACGCCATTTGAGCACGTGACCATTCATGTTTGTGTTTTCTCTCCACAACTTGCTCAGGTGGAAGGGTTCTAGCCTTAGTTGCCAAAGGTGAGTTCTGCAGCGCAGACGTGCATCTCTGGCGTTGCAAACGATGTAATCACTCATCAACTCGGGGTACGAGCACTTCTTCCTCTGTTTAAGCCATGCTTAATGCTTACCTTTCAAGGTTTATGTACTATCGTCACAAAATGGAAGTATTTAAGACATTTCCGATTCAGCAATTCCTGCATCACCTACTCCGGTGAAGGATACGATGTAGGTGGGTCGGGAAAGACCCCTACCTCTACTAGAATGACTAAAATATGCAACAAATTGTGAAACAATGAACTTGAGGAGATGTGTTCATCGAAAGTGATCATGCAACTGAACATGGAAGGAGTGACTCACCATGTACAGTGTACAGGAGTGCTATGTAGAGATTGATAAATTGGAGTCAAAATCTATTGGGCCATTTTTGTTGACATCACAACTACAGGGGGTTGACACCCACCGCATTTGAAACTATGATAGCACCGATAGCACCTGACCCATTTGATGGGTAGTGTCCAGATCTATTGGCCAAGAGACTCGAAGCGCTGATCCAAGGTCCATCGCCTCTTTCTTTGCCAAAGCGAAAGTGGATGGAGCTGAAGAAGTTTCGGGAGTCGAGGAACAGCCGATTCTTTCAGCAGCAACTCTGGCTGGTCGGCACAGGGCCGCCCTTACGGTGACGGCGTCAACGAGTGATTTCGTCGGCGCAGGTGACAGTGGCTTGCCACGGAACTCAAGTCTTCAGGAATTGATATGTTTTTCTTTATAGTACCTATTTGTTTCACTTACTATAGGGGGGGTTGCCGCATGATTTTTAATGGGTGGGTTGCCGCATGATTTTTAATGGGTGGACAGGATTAACATGTGAGAGCTGAATCCCCAAACCTGCGAGTCCACTGAATGTTTGACATGGAATAGAACGTCTTTTTAGACCCAGTTCCTTGAGACTCAGTCTCCGGGTTGACGGTTGACTGCCGGTTGATCCTGGTCGGTGGACCTCCTAGGTCGTTTGGTGGAACCGGTCGGTCCGTCGGTTGTTCCCGCCCGGGATCCTCCCGGGACCCGCTGATGTTCTTCCAACCGGACCTTGCTTTGTGACCATGTCTCAAATGCCTGAGACTCGCGCTTTTGGGTGACTAGCATGTTGGATCATTTGGGCGTTCATGATGTTCATGTTTGTTGGCGTTGAACAAGTCTAATTTGATGTTTTTCCCGTTATCCCAAGATGTCTATGAATGAAGCAAGAGACCTTGCCCTGTAGGATGATGTTCTGCCAACACAAGCTGAGACGCAAAGTGACGCGTCCGATGGTGCGCAGGGGGGTGCAAGGCATGTCATGGGCTGGATGGTGGCTTCACGGATTTGGGAAACTTCCCAACACGGTTCTAAATTGAAACTGTAAGTCTAGCAGTGCTAGAGATGTTTTTTCTTGTATAGCTGTGTTGGTGCAACAACCTGTGTCGGACCTGGCTTGCAGCTGCGGGAATGAAGAGGCCCCTCAGAAGCAATGAATGTATCCTGTGGAGAAGGCAGTTTTCCTCGTCTCTTCCCCATCAAACTCCTCGATCATGTTTAGTCATTTAAAAAGGGAGGGTGTTCCTTGTTCCAAGTATTCTATCTCTTAACCCACCTCTGGGATGGCAACAAGATGAAATATTATTTGTCAATCGAATTGTACAAATGAACAATATTCTATCTTTTGGAAGGTCGCTATATACATTCAAGTCATGATCAATAGTCTTTCCGCCATTGAAGCACCATCCGCTTGTGATGAGAGTGCTTTGTGATCTTTCTTTCCATCCAATAGCGACTGTGACAAAAGAAACATCCCTCGAGACAACTCGCGGGTCGAGCGGGTGTCGCATCCCTCGGAGACTTCGCGTGGATCACCGTCCCCACGACCGAGCGAGACGGAGTTCGCAGGAGTTCCGACCGCAACGGAGCGAGCTTCCGAACGCGAGAGCAGAACGTCACACAGACATGAACAATCGCATCGCAACGGAGCAAAGAACCTTACTATACTACGTACCAGGGGCCCCACGTGTCCCATCAAACACCTTGTTTTCCTTAGAAAAAAGAAAAACATGGTGTTTGGTATGTGAAAACCTTTGTTTTTCATGGTTTGCTTACCGGGCCCCCGACGTCGCCTGCAAGTCGCACGTGTTTCACCTGGACCACCCGGTCTGCTGTTGGCGTCTCCGTCGCGTGCGCCACGGATCCGGTGGACCCGGTGCCAGGCGGTTCGGAGCGTGCGCCGGAAGCCACTTCGGTGGAAGCCACTTCGGTGGGGCCCAAGGAGAGGGTTGGTCAAAGTATTCTACGCCTCCCATGAAGTGGATCAGGGGAGGCCAGGTGGTTTCCTTGGACTGTTTTTTTTGTCGGGATGTTGGCAGGCAACTGCATGTGTTTGCCAAAGAGCCAAAGAGTAGATGATTCATTGGAGGAGTCACTGGAATCCAATCGTGTCCCTGTCTTCAGGGACGTTGGATTGAAAGCATAGGGAAGCTTCAGAGCATGAAGAGTTTGTGAAGAGGTTGAAGGTAAGTCAGCATCAAACGGTCATATTGTTCATTGACTAGGCCGTCATCGGCCGTCATGGGTTTCTCATGGTTCATCTCAGCTTTCTGGAAGGTACCTTATATAATCAAATGAAAGCCTTTGGACATCCGAAGATCGGTTGGAGGACACCTTTCCTTGAGACATTCCTTCTCGTGTCATCATGGAACAAAATGCCTGTCATCATCTGGATAGAAGTGCGGACAGGACAGGCAGCCCGCCAACGTGGCGGAGTTTCACAAAGCAAGCCGCGTGAGCCTTGGTGAGCTGCATAACATAGGAGCTGCAAAACATCCTCCGTAGGAACTGCAGCTGAACCCGAAGAACAGCTGGGAATAGGAAACATGAACCGACGTGTTCCCAATTTGAGATGCGTTCCATGAGAAGCTCTCATGATCCCCCCTGATGAGAAGTATTTCCCCTCAAATTGATCCCAATTCCCCAGTTTGGCTGAGAAGCTTGAACTCCATTTTGATAGACTCGTTCCCTTTCAAATCATGTTCCCATTTCAGTTCCCTTTTCAGTCACCGGCCGGGCGTTGGAGGCGTTTTTCGCTCGGCGCATGCTCCATTCGTCGTGGCACACCCGAGGCCTACATTTCTTGGGGACCTGGCGCGAGCGCTTCGAACGTTGGCGTGCTGAAGGCGGCGCAGGCGAGGTTTGGGGTCACTGGGCCAGTGGTTGGTTTTTCTGGCACATGACCAGTCCAAAGGTGAAGCTTGACCCTTCCTTTGGTGGGTGGAGATATTGTTTTGGAAACTCACCATTTCAGAAGCAAGCTTCAATGAAAACCATCACCATGGACCATTACCATAGAATCATTGATCATCATTGATCAATGAAAAACGTCTATTCCTCTAGATTGCCCACCTGCCCCACACCGCTTCGTGCGGCACGCTTGCAGCTGCCGCTTTTCAGCGGCCGTCGGCGCGTGCGCCCGCGGGCGAGGTCCACGTTCCTCGCACGACGTCACCGAGTCACTGCGCCGGGACTTGGCGACGTTGCAGAAGGAACCGCTGGCACTCTGGGCGCACTTGGATGCTCGGATGGTGGGGGGGGGGGGGGGGGGGATGGGGAGGGGTGAGGGAAGAAGGTGACCGTGCACTGCATGACTGCTGCATCAAAAGTGTCTCTACTTGGTGAAAGTACACACTCTTCAAATTACAGCTACCCAATGATTCACCTGGGGTAGTTCACCCGATTCTAGAGAGTGGATGGATGTGGATGGTCACTCAAGCAGGGCGTGATTGATTGCAGACCTTCGTCGATTACTGTGTGCCCATTCTTAATCATGGACGTTTTAGAGATTTGTCCCCACCTGCCACCCTACTCCCGGGTATTCCACCATCATAATCGCTTTATACATACACCTCCATGATCCATGCCTCCATCCTTTGAGGAAGGTGCTTTGGACTGGACGTCAGACCAGTTGGTGACATTGTAAAAGACTCCAAGCGACTCCAAGGGCCCAAAGAAAGTTCCTTCGTTGATTGCTTCAACGAATGCATGCGTTTTTTCCCCACCAATTCCAGGTGAGGCTTCTTCCATTTTGAGGGTGCCCTGCCTTCCAAATCGCCTTTCAGCCATGGGGATCACTCACTCTACTTAGTAGAGTGTGTCTTTTTTCTCGGAAGCAAGCATTCCAGCTGCCTTCACAGAGCCTTCACCGAGCCGACATCCTCCGACCCTCCCGGATCGGTTCGAGGACATGGACTGCTTCTTTGCTTCCGTGGCCACCCGCGACATGGACGCTCCAGGCGAAGAGGTGCAGACCGAAGACCGGTGGGAATCACCTGCCTTTGCCCAGTGGCGCCTCCCCTGGCCCAGTGGCGCTCTCCTTGCCCCAGAGGCACCCAAAAAGGAGGAACCCAGCGACAGAGCGCTGGCGACAGAGCGCGGGAAGGGCGGTTCTCGGCTCTCTTCGCGCAGCAAAGACCTTCTTGGATTCTCTTCAGACTGACGAGGGCGACTCATACAGATACGAATGAGGGTGGCTGGACCCAATCTGACGAAACTTCCCACATTCCCCACCAGTGGCGCTAGTCAGCAGATGACTCGCAATCTTTTCCCTCGCACCGTTTTCCGATCCACAAAGCTATACGTTCTCCTCACTAGCAGCTCGTTGGCTTTATAAGGTGGGAACCACGAACGGGTGGAGGATCCTCGGGGCTTCACCTGGCAGGTGCCGACCGCCGTGGTCTCGGGCCTCGGGCCGAGCTCGGAGATTTGCTCGGCGCCGGGACCTTTGAGTGTTGGGGGGACAACCAGGTGGTGGTACTAACATGCAGCCCACAGCCCAGTATAGTTATAGTATAACATGCACTATAGTCGCTATAGTGCATTTTTTTTTGTTCAAACACGTTCGCACAAAAAATCCGTGCATCCGGCCTTTTTTGTCAAATGGACAAATTTTCTGGAATTCCTCCGAATATTGGGTTTGATTGGGTTTTATCAATATATTTTTTTGGGTTTTTGTCGATAAAATGTTGATAAAGTTTGGGTTTCATATGGGTACGCTTTTGTACGGTATTGTTTTTCTGTCCATACGGCTAAATACGCTAATTCGTTAATTAAAATGTCCATACGATAAATTCTGTCCAAATACGGCCTTCGCACAAAAAAAAGTGTTCATATGCCTTTCCAGGTAGTTATAGTAATGCTGGTTGCAAGTGCATGAGTAATACTATATGACTATAACATGCAGTGAGATGTAGCAAGATGGGTGACAAAAGTCCAACCTATGGAGAAGAGTGAAGTGTTCTTTAGGTGCCCAGCCCCACCCCAAGTTTTTGGCTAGTGCACAGGGTCAATCTATCACGCAACTTGGTACACTTACAATACAATCACCATCTCGCTTGGTTGAGTCTTCTTTTAAGCCACAACAGTCGACAGCCACCTTCACACCATCGGCTGAAACCGAGGAGTGTGAGAATGAAGACGATAAGTTCCCACAGCTTCCAGTCCACACACGAAAAACACAGCAGGGAGGCGCCGCGTCTCATTTTTTTTAGCTTAGCCAACGCAGCTCTACTGTTGTGGGTTTTTACCTTACCCCTGCACCTCAAGACTAATGCGCCCAGGCTTACCATGGCCCACCAAAGACCAAATGACGCCGACCCCTGGGCCGCCTAGGAACTATGCCGCACGCCGAGCCGGAGTTGGGGAGCTTGGCAAACGACTTCGAAAGCCCACAACCTGGCACAATGATGGATGAATATATACGTATACAATGGTCGCTGTAGTGCATGATCCTTCCTCAGCAATTTTTGTAGGTGCATGTCATTGATTAGCAACTGAGCTTTGACAGAGTTTGGAGAAACCAGCTCTTGACCATTTGAGCTGAATGTTTTGCCATCGCCATCGCCTCAGATCTGAGGTCAATACACATCTCTGGTTTGTGGAGCGCGCCACGTCGATCCTCCCCTCGTCCGGGCTCCAGGGCGCGGGCGGCACCGAGCGGCCGGCTGGTGGGTTCGGAAAGAGAGGGGCCGAACAGACACATTCCCCAGACACGACCCATGGGACTGCCATATATGCCTATACCAGTGAGGTTTCGGTTCGGTTGGAATCGGTTTGAATGTTTAATTGAATCTTCGAATCGGTTCGGTTTGGTTGAGGAAGCTTTTGTTCATGCATTTTCGGTTCGGTTCACGGTTCGTTTCGGTTCGGTAAGGGATAAGTTACCCTGTGAGACAAGACAAGAAATAGATAAGACAAACAAGACCAGAGAAGACAAAACAAGACATGATGTGATGTGACATGTCATAGCAAATCAAGATCTACTTGGTAGATTTCCTGTCCAATATGCTTTCTAGACCGCCTGGAAAAAGCATATTCACAAACAGCTGTCTTTTCCTCAGCTTCTCATGGCTCAGAGGTTGTCTTGACTTACTTGTTGTCGACACGATGTCCCTCATGGTGCCTTCGTACATGATGCCAGAGCAGCTGCGCTTGGCTCGTGTGCAGCTTTGTGTGGGGCTGTTCCTGTTCAGACCTGCAGCGTTCAGCCCTGCAGCAGCGCAACCGCACGAGCAAGCAGAGCGGAAGAGCGGAAGACCTCGTAAGGGCACAGCTGTGGCTGTGCAGGGCACAGGCAAAAGTGGCCAGTGTCGTCAGGTGGGGGTTGAATATGCTTTTTTCTGCTTGATGCAAATGCATATTTGGCTGCCTAAAGTCCTAAAGGTGTTTATGATGGGCCGCCTTCTGTTCTGAGTGCTTAAATGCTTTTTGCGAATCGGAAAAAATGCATTTTGGAGTTGCCCTGCACATGGCGCAGGCGGACCAGCAGATTCAATATTTGCAGAGCCGCCCTGATGTTGCTTGCTTGACGAAGACTTCCATGTGTCGCTTGACCAAAGAGATCTTGCAGACCATCGTCAAGGAGCGCAACAGTCAGAGAGACCCATGGCTTCCGTGCAAGGAAAACTCCTTGGCTGAGCTCAAGATCTCCGCGGCAGCTCTAGCCGTCCTCTCTCATGCCGCTGAAGCATACGTGGTTCAGAGGCTGGTGCAGGGCAATGTGCTCGCCGCTCACCGTGGGAAGAAGACTTTGACTGAGAAAGACCTTCAAACTCTGCAGACAGTGGAGGAGGTTGCGGCTGGCCATGTTTGCAAGAAGCCGAGAACACAGTGAGGGCGGTTTTTGGGTCGATGGCCTAGGGTGTCAATGCTACGCGTTGTTGTAGGGATTTGTGTCAAGATGATGCTCTTGAGCTTGAAAATGTGCTAGATTGCATTTGTAGTGAGCACGCTTCTTGAGCTTCTTGAGCTTTGTCAGTGTGTACGCTTCTTGTCAGACATGCTAGACTGCATTGTAGTTGTGTCGAAGGGATGCATTTTTTCAATATGCTTTTTGCAGCAGTTGGTAAATGCACATTGCACATTCCAAGCCTTGCGTTAGCCTTACTAGACTTGTGATGCTTGGTTACTTACATTTGGTTGCACGGACTAGAGGAACATGAACACTCTTGTGCCGTTGATTTTAGGAGCTCGAGAGCTGTCCAGTAATGTAGATGTTTTTTGACCCCATGTGCTACAAATGCCTGCTGCCGCAGAAAGAAGCTGGGTGCACAGGGAATTCTGGCCGGCAAGACCAGGAGTGCCTGTGCGGTTTTGTAGAAGGTGCAACGCAGTTGAGCCAAGTCTAGAAGAAGTACAGAATGTGATCGATCGTGGTGGCAAACCACGCCGACACTGGAAAGGAGCTTGCGGCTTCGCCAGCACCAGTACCAAAATGCGTTTTCCATTGTCCAAAAAAAGCATTTTCACACGAAAGCCACCGATGACTCCACCTTCCTTAAATGCTTTTTTAACCAGAAAGAAAAAGAATATTTGTAGTTGACTCACTGCAGCAAGGTTCGCAAGCAAGTGGAAGCTGAGATGTTGCACTATGAGCGCCTGAATGTCACAGGAGAAAGCCCTTTGTCTTGGTGGCGCAGCCATGAAGGACAGATGCCAGTGCTCGCCCAGTTTGCGCAAGCGGCTCTTGGAGTGCCTGGCTCCAGCGCAGCTTTGGAACGGCTTTTCTCGAAAGCCGGTTTGTTCATCACCAGGCGCCGCCCGCGCTTGAAGCCGGGCCGCGCCAGTGACATGTTGTTTGGGCACGCCAATGTGCAAATGCTTCTGTGACCTCGGACAGCCCTCGAAGAAACGTTGCGGATCTCGGAGCAGGGGGGAATTCCGGTTCGTAATTTTTTCCGGTTCGGTTGTGATGGGATAATTGACGGTTGTAATGATTCGGTTGATGAAAAATTTCGGTTCTTGACATTCACGAGGTTTCGGTTCTGAACAAACGGTTCCGAATCGATTCGGGACCCTTCCTGCTATACATTGGGGTGGTTGACTGCGGGGTCAATGGGGCGGCATATATGACACACATGGAGTGTCTGGGTTCTATATCCCCATACACCAATGCTCCGTGAACGACGGGCGACCGGCCCCGCAAGAACCGGTCGGGATTGGGTCCGGACTCCGGATTCGAGGAACCGGCCCCGACTTATAGGAGGGTGGATGAGCGTTTGGGATAGACCCAGAAAGAGCAGACATCCTGATGAGATTGGTTGAAGTCACCCTCCGGCAACGTGCAAAGGCCCCAAGAAATCATCCATTCGGCCATTAAGAGCTTTCCCAACTTCCTTAAGAGTCTTGGCATCTGACCTGGCGCCAGGGCTGTCCTGTCTCCACCACATACGGCACCCGTCTCCAGGCTACGATTGGTGCCCATCTCCAGCGAGCTACTCCGCTCCGCCGGGAGCCGAGCTGCGAACAAAAACCAGCACAGGAGATCACAGGAGCTCAACCTGGTCAATTTCAACGGTTCTTGGACCCTGAAACCTCACATGGACGTACATGAAAGAAGCAACAACTTGTGTATAATCTGCTGTTCGGTGAGTAAAGGGTTGATTCGTCCCAGTTTCCAGCCTGACTCGCGACTTTGACACAGGGAATCCTGTGATGACCATAGAAACCATTGAGGAAACCGAACCCGGTGGCGCTGATGGTACTTAAGATTCAGCCCCAAAAAGCAAACACTAGTTACTAGTGACTAGTGTCGCTTCAAGAACAGGCAAGCAAAGCAGTTCAAAAGCAACAGTGTTTGCGTGCAATGTTTTTGTGTCCGAAGCACCAAACACAGAGTGATGGTTAGTCCCGAAGAACTGCCACCATCAGTCAGCCCCCTCTGTATCGTCTCTATTTTCGCTGAGCTGGTAGTCCAAGTGCTTTTGGTTTCATCCGGGATAGTCCTCAACACCTATCTTGGACAGGAACTTCATAGTTCAGAGAAGATAGGAAAGGGGTGTGGCAGAGGGATGGCAAGCAAGAGCGAGGTCGAAGATACTTGGAAGCAGGCGCGTCAGGTTTTGTGCAGTTTCTTTCCTGGATAGATAGTTCCAAGTCAAAGTACTCCAGTCGCAGACTTCAGGAGCATGATTGCAAACCAGTAGACGATTGATGGAGTGGACTTTGAATCCTAAATTTATCACTGAATCTCGCATGTCAATGCATAATAGTGATGCAGGATGTCGACAAGACCTACATAGATTGAAGGAGAGGAATAGACAGAGAAAGGGTTGCTGCCACAATATGCAAGATGCACATATCTTGGACTCCGACACAGGCATAGCACACCCACTGAGACGGCGCTGCAGTCACTTAGACCACCCACGGATGTCATTGATCGACCAACCACGGCCATCTCACTCGTCTCCGCTGCTAGCAGCGGAGGTTTACCAACTGCTAGCAGCTCGGCGCGTCGTGAACGATGCAGCAGAGGTGGCCAAAACGCCCTCTCGGTAGGGCCACAGGTGGCGACCATTGTCGGATGGGGTTCCTTTGAACTCAGCCGAAGTACACTCTGACGAACACATCACATGGTTACGTGGATGGCATGGTCCCTTGGAAGTGGAAAAAAATGGTAGAGGAAAAGTCGTCTTCCTTTCGGGACCATTCCATCCACGTAACCATGTGATGTGTTCGTCAGAGTGTAAGTAGCTGAGCCGCTCCTGTTGCTTTTGTTGGTGGATGTTCACTGGTGAGACCTTTTTCAAGGCAGGTGGGACCTTGGAGGGCCTTGGATCTTGAATCATGTTTCAGTTTTTGAAATATCTAGCAGATCGTCCATACATATATATATATATATAGAAATAATATATATATATATATGTATACACACTCACAATGCATGCATGCATATTATATATTAAAGATATAAGTAAATAGTACCATAAGGTACCTGACAGGTGCTTCCGCCTTCCCCGTTTCAAGATGTAGTCACCTTCGTGCCCAGTAATATGATCCTTCTCTGAGGTCACCGCCTGCCATGATGTCCCAGACAACGTCCTGATGCGGTCGTGCGACGAATCCGCCTTGAACCCGGAACGAAAGTTTTTTTGCAGCTGTCAAATCGAAAGGATCATGTAAATAGTGTCATTCAAGGTGATGTCCCGATTCAAATTCACAGATGTTTCCCTATTTACCCATTCTTGATGTTCCACCGCTTGAAAACAGACGATGGAGCACATTTGCAGCATTCTTTCTAGACCTGAGTGATGCAGACACTGGAGTAAAGCATGATTTCTTTCATGAGATCTCATGGAGTCCATGGTCATGTGTTGCAACCGAGTCCACGTATGGCTCCGAGGCCCTTCGTGTGGAGGGCTTCGCCGACGCTCAGACCGTTCAGACCGACTGGTGGACCAACTACCCTCAGACTAACGAAGTGAAAAGACGGCTGTTTATAGAGTAAAGTGGTCTTGCCCAGTGGCCACTGTCCACTTCCCTGTTGCATGTGAGTGGGAGTGGCCTCATGTCCTGATTGACTGCATGAGGAATTGACCCAAAGAATTGACTCACTCCTGAAAGAATCCATAGTTATGTCGTTATGTGGATGGGATGGTATACCGACCGTGAATTCCGAAGCCATGATTGATATGATTGTCCACCTAGGGAGTGAGCTTTTGGAAACTCCTAGTTTTGACTCAAGAAGATGCGCAGAATCTTTTTAAAAGGACAGGATGGAGCACATGATGTTTGTTTGAAGTCAACTTGGTTTTGTGTAGAGTGATGTTCGTTTTCCCTGTGGGTGAATCCCCTTCTGACGGGGATTGTTTCCGGGTTTCATAAGCAAATCCAAGCTAAAGTATTCATACTCGGTATGTTTAGTTGCAAGATCTAATAACTAACTGAACCTCAGCGAGGTAAGACCATGGTAGGCCCAATTTCATCAAAGTCCATTGCTTGGGACATCCCCTCAGAACAACACAACTGAGCCTGTTGCGACAAACCATGCTTGACAACATCCACCCCATTCCACCCCCATTCTTTGAGCTTTGTGAATGTTACCACCACCAGAACAGTGACCGGGATTGCGGCAGCATACAGGACACAAAGATTGGCAGACAGGTTGGGAGACCTAGGCTCCCCCACTCCCTCTTCTTGTAGATTCTTCTGCAAAGGTGGAAACACAAGGTGTGATTGACAGTTGATTAATGACCCTCCCCATATGGCCGGCTGACTTCAATCTAAATCCGTACATTCCTTAATGCATTCATGCATTGTACTATAGTAGGCATGGATTAAATTATATCCACTGTTTCAAGTGGCAAGTGCTTAATCAACTTGAATGTGTCTTTAAACATACATCATATCCAGCAGTTTGGCTGCCAAGGATCCTGTCGCTTGGGCGGAAGCGTTGCGGAAGGCGGTGTTCCAGCAGACAGGAGAGCAGCAGACACATTTGGGTGACTATCCACAATAGTGACAATGAGACGGGATCTACAAGACAAAGTAATCTTGGTCGCCAGTCGCAAGTGATTCAGCTATCTCGCATGATCTCACTATTTGAAACAAATCTAATATTACGTGGGTTGTGACACCATATACAGTATAATATAGTATAACTGTTGTTGTAATTTAAATCTATATTTGGACCAGAGCTTAGGTTTGAATTAGCACGAATCTTGTGTGGATGTGGGAGACACCGATGGAAAACAGTAGCTTCATTGGAGCAGCCAGGACTTAAGTTCACCATTGTTGGAGTGTTATACTATGTTATATACAATATATATATATATATATTATAACTATATATTTAAAACAATATATATACATTTTCTTGCGGCAAAGTGACACCTGGAGTCCGCGAAAAAGTTGCATTGTTATATGTTCTTCTCGTCCTCTCGTCATTTGCTCGCTGTGAGAACGTGACATTGTGCCGCTTTCACAGTGTTCACAAAAGCGTCCTCATCATGACCGACAGTCATAGGACAGTCAGGGCAGTTGTAGGAGTCAGGGCAGTTTGTCAAGTTTGTCACGATTGCATGGCTTTATGTTCTGTAGATGGGCCGACGCTTCTGCGCGGCGCTGTAGATGAGCACGGCCGTTCGCCGTGCAGTTTTCAGCGCAGCGCAGCGCCGTGCTGTTTCTGCGCGCCGTATAGGATGCACCTGCAGTGTGGGTCTGGGACCTACACAGCTGGTGGCCAAGTTGGCGACGAAGGCGCCAATCTCTGGTGGAAAATAAAAACATTAAACACATGTGGGCCATTAAGGTCGGCTTCTTGTTTGGAAGAAGGGACATATGTCCATGCTGTTTGGGGTTTTGAACTTTGAACTATGTTTTGTTGCTTGCAAAAGAGGTGTGTCCATCGAAGAACATGTCCATGGAGTGGGTATGAGTCGGTCGATCGTGACGTGAGGTTTCATCGTGTCAGGTTCGTCATAAGTTGGTGAACATATCGGAGGTGCATGTCGGTGACTGTCGGAGGTGCATGCTGGAAGTGAGAAACCACCGGAAAGGAGAGGAGAGGAACATTTGATCATTTTTGCACGTTTTCACTACAGAATGGGCTGGGTTGACCACTGGAACAATAGGCATTGTTTTGATACAGTATAGAGGCCCATCTTTGCCAGGCCAGGCTCGGCTTGTTCCCCTGCCAGGCCTGCAAGCCCAATGGTGTCCGAAGGGTCTTGGAGGATGAGGCCAGGAAGACTCAGGGGCTGAGATCGGTAAGGCCCGGATGGCAGTGGCTCAGGGGTTCTTCTGGCTGCGCTTGGGTGTTTGGTGGCCTGCTTGGATGATCGTTACATCACTCAATCTAAAGCAGAGGTTGCGCCAGCCCGTACGCAGCTTCCTCCAAAAGCCGTGGGAGAAATTGGGGACCCTTCTCCAATCGGTTTGGCCGACCAGTCGAAACCGGACAAAAACCTGCCCACGGTTTTGAAACATGTGTGCGTCCCTTCGAATATTTGTTTGTGTTTTCAAACTTAAACTACCGTCATAACTGAGTTTATGTTATTGTATAACTAAAAGAATCTAAAAGAACATATACAAGCCTGGACTCCCTGGACCCCCAAAAAGGGGGACAATTCAAACAAGTTTGGTGACAAAACGTGTTACTTCTGCGTTCGTTTTGGTCACTTCTGCTTCATGGCTATAGCGAACTTGCTGCATTTCTCTGCGTCATGTTTTCCGGCGAGACGGTTGAAAAGACCTTTGATGTAAATTCGTTCGATTGAATTATATATATTCTATTTTTTTACTTACACTTGTCAGTCACGTAAGCTTGAGAAGGTGAATCTAGATATCGATTTGATGGCCAAGGTCAAGAAGTTTGTCGGAGAACTGCCACTGAAGGACATGCCGCAGGCTCACCACATGATGCCGCACCGTTTTTGCAGAGTGTTGGTGGTACATTACCTTACCCAAAGGCTGTCTAAAACGACCATCCTTGGATTTCTGGGAGCTACTCGCACTTTTTCCTGGCTAGTCAGATCCTGGATCTGACCACTTGCTGCAGCCAATGAGGATCTCAAGGTCAAAGAGCCAGAAAGAGTCAAGACTGAAGGAGGATGGACGGACAAACGTCCTCACGACAGTGCATTTGATCTTCAAGCACATTGCCACTCCCTTCAGCCCAGCCTAGCGATGAGCTTGCAAGGACCTGAGTTGAGGTGCGGACTCCTCAGAAGGTTCGGGGAAAGGTCTACAGTCCACAGTCCAGGTAGTTAGATGTACTTAGTGTTCTCGCTCTCATGTAGTGTTATTCAGAATTAGTTGCACAATGGTCACATACAATATGTTTGCGAAATTGGTTGCTGAGGTGGACACATGTGCTTTGGACACATTATTAGTGTGGGAATGGATTTAGATCCTAAAGTACGCATTTTGCAAGAGTCATACCCAGCGTCTCACTTCTTGTAACCATCAGCTGGCCAGAACTACTCGACTACGAGTGGATGACACCACGAAGCGAGTGGATTTGCCAAAGAAGCACCCATCGACGTCGACGTTCCAACAATTGTTCCAAATGACTTTCACCCCCCCACCCCCCAAAAAGAAAGAACAAAAAGGCAATCGGTCCGAAAACGATTCCAGTCGTTTTTTTCCACACGTCCCACGAACCGCCACAGGCGCACCGCCGCAGTGCCCGCGCCCAAGAACCTCTCGGCAGCACCCAGCTCGTTGTCCATGCCACGCAGTTCGGGCACCACAGCCGTGCGCTGCGCTCGGCGTGGTGTCCGCTCGCGCAGTGGCAGGAAGTGAGATGGAGCGTTCGGAACAGGGAGACCTCCCAGACGTTCCGAAACCCCTGGCAGAAAGGGAAAAAGACGAATTAGTCGAATGAGGTCTCCCTATCAAAATAAGTACATTACAATATGGCACCCCGATGCCTTCGTGTGTTTCTTTTTTGTGTTTGTTCAGGTTGGTCGCAGAACCACTGATGAGAAGGGAGAAACAACCGGAAAGTCGATGGCCAGGAAGGTTTGCCCATGTTCAGGTAAGGAAATCATGAAGTCTCCATGGCGGCTTTGTGCCCTGCTCATACCTGGAGGTATGAGCAGGATCTTGGAAGAGTGACCAAGGTCGAGTTCCATAGCGTATCATAGCGTCCACAGTAAAAAGAAAGCTGGTGAGTCATTTGGTGATCATCTCCTTGGTGAGGATGATTTTTGTTGGATTGCATGACCTTTCATGGGACCACCAGGCGACCAGCTCGGCCCACCCAGGTGCCCCGCTCATCGCGCCGCTGGGCGGGGGCAATGACGAGGTGCCCAAAGCCACCGACGCGACGAGTTTGAAGACACCAGAACTCTGGAAGTTTAAGGATCACGTTTGTGAAGCAGAGTTGACTTGAAGCATGGACGCAAGATCGGTGAATTTGGCAGATTGGTATTACCCAGACGCGACCCTGGACCCTCCTAAGTAGGGGTCCGGACCCTCAAATCCCTAGGGTTTTGAGGGACCAAGAGCTGTTTGGAGCGTTTGGGTATGAACTTTGGGAACGCAAACACCTGTTGATGGCAGCTGCTCACGGTTGGGAAGATGAGTCTCCTTTGGGTGTCAAAAAAGCGACTCGACCTCACTGCCTGATCCAAAAGACCGCCTCCAGAAAGTGCTGGGAATGAGGGTGCCCGGGGCTCCCAGTTCCGATTCTTCTGCCTCTTCCATTGAGTTGGGTGCGATGTGTCCATCATTCTGACAGTCGAGGTGTCCGGAATTGCACCAATTTTCAACAAATCCCATTCTGAATGGATTCACTCTCAGGGGATCTCAGGGGACTCAATTCGATGAAAAGACCACCCCGATTTGAGGAGGATCGGACTCTTTTCCCTCATTCCTTCTGAAGATGTGTTCACGCCGTTGACAGGGTGCCACCTCGACGGGCCCACGCCTGCGGGAGAACACGGCAGCGACGCTGGACGCATGTGGGAAGTGCGTGTGGGCGGGGGTGTACCTTGATCGACCATGGGTTTCATGAGGATGTGAGTTCTTGCTTGATTTTAAGTAGTTTTTGTTTTCAGGTTGTTAAAACTTAACACAGATTTGGGTATCCATTTGAGAGTTTGTCATCATGTTTCATAATATCCAGGAGCTCAAGCAATCAGCCTCCTCATCCCCGACTTGAGCATTTGTACCACTTCAAAGCCGAAAGCTATTCAAACATATAGTGCGATTTTCGCTTGTTCCAGGATGTTCATTTAGAACATGGCTTGGCGTGGTTCATACCTTTGGTGGTGCATCCGACAGATTTTGCATTTCGAACATGTGTCTCCTTCCATCAGTGGCAGTGGAAGTCCATCCGACAGACGCCCAATCCGTTCAAGCTGAGGAATCCATTCAAGCTCGCGAAATCCGGCTTTGGAGGAACGGGCTCCGGCACGAACCAGGGTGTCATCGCAGGCTGGGAGGGGCTGACAGTCCCAAAGCTGGGGGTGGCGGCTGGATCTCATACAGCAGGTGGGCTTGATGGCACAAACTGAAACTCATAGACTCTTAGACCTTGTTTGAGCTTGTTCTATGATGGAAATGGAACCCATGTAGACAACATGACCTGGGGTTTTATCTACTCAGAGTTGTGCTTGATGGCAAAGAAATGCAGTCTTAAAAGGTGTTCACTTCGCTACACTAGCTGAGATGTAACTTCATTCCCTCATGCGTGCACCCACTAACTTGCAAGTAGCCTTTTTTTCTGTCCTGGATTTGATGCCTGATGTGACAAAATAACAGAAAGATAACAGCTTGGAAGTATTAATTACACCCGGATCCTAGAAAAACATCGTAAATTGCTAATTTTATGGGATCCTCACGAGTAATGGCTCAAACGCAAAGTGGATGGACGTGAAGCAGACTACAGCCAGGCGCTGAGTACGTGCGGGGCCCCTTGCAGCCCACCTGGGCCGCACAATTGGCTGAAGCACGACATGCGAGCGCGCCCCGTGGCGGGTTACGGGTGGGTGGCAGGATGCGAGTTTGTTGTGTGTGGGGTACGCGGAAGCTGCGAGTTGGTGCGACCGGAAAGGAAAGATTCCAAGTGATCTGTGGATCATGGCATGTCAGCTCTTTGGGAGAACGATCAGAGTACCACTTGTGAGAATGTAGACGCATCCCGCACGACTCTTTGTCAGAGTTAACCAGTGAGGGTCAGAGCGCAGTGAGCGGAGACCACTGAAGGAACCTCTTATATAAACAATAATCCGTGTTGACCTTCAGGATGGCTTCATACATCCTCGCGGGTTGAACCCCCACCAGAACTTCCAAGAGCTGCCAAGGTCAAAGCGCTGATGTAGAGGGAATGATGGAATAGCTCACAGCGGAGTTTATCGCAGGGTCAAGAGCAAAATTGCACGCCGTCGAAGTACGTAGTTGAAGAAGCTGCTGTGGATGGAAGAAAGCTGGAGATTTAGTCAAGGAGCACCAGGTTTTGATATGTTTATGTTTGCAGATTCTTAGGCTCTCTGCAGATTCATCAAGGTTCAGCACACAAACCACAAACTCTCATGAGCATGCCGCCCCTTGAAAAAATAACCTTAAATAAGGCGTTGCAGCTTTCAATTCAGCGCCAGAAGCTTTCTCATGTTTGCGCCTTCGCAGCCATTGTGCTAGAGCAGCTAAAACCGGAGACAAGAGACATGTCGAGCAACAACACAGGGTGCTGGTGGGTGTCCCAGCGACCCAGGTCTTCACATCACACCCACAAATCGACGGAGAAATCAACGGGGGCCCAGGGATGAAAACCGACCACCCAAGTCGAGCCAGACACCGATCTTTTTCCGACTTCGTCACGACTTCGGCTGAGCGAGCCCATCCATGAAGTCCCCAGCGACCGTGTGTCTCCGTGTTTGGAACAACATGCCAAGCGTCAAGAATCGAACAGCACAAACACAGCGCTACATTCGAACAGCCACCGACCGGAGCCGCACCTGGAGACCGGCCGATTTGTCCCGTTCTTCGCTACATGCTGGGTGACCTGGGCACCCTGCCTGACCCCTAAAACTGGACAGATTCCTCTAAAAGGGGTGGTGTCAACCTACCATGGTTTGGTGAGGGAGGTTTTGACTCGCAGCCATCTCTCAAAGCCGAGTTCATCTCGCACGCCATGCATCACTCTGTCCCTGTCAGTGCACTGCCGCCGCCGCTGTCGCCATCGCCGTGCCGCTGGCACCAGGGTCACCTGGCTTGGACGGCATGGCGACAAGCGAACAACAAAAGGCCGTAACATGGAGCCTCAACATATCTCAACAACAGGAGCTACTCGTAGCAGCGGTTGTTCTTGGATACTACAATGGTCAAGGATACTGTCGTCACTGACAAGGGCTTGATCAGGGACTCGACCCGTGGACTCCGGAACCGCGACACAGCGCGTCATGACTGGACCGAACCGGTCGCTCAGGAGAACCCCTTCAAACGGGCTTCCCACCATCCCTTTGGTACCGGTGTGGATTAAATATGGAATGAATTGAGCATGTAAAACACATCTGTTTGTGGGGAGCATTTCTTCGCTTGAGCGCCCAAAAGTTACACTCTCAAAAACTACGATGCACCATCACGCACCAAGCCTTTGGCAAAGAAAAAGGGGCTTCCCACAACTCCATGTTCCATGCCCTTTCATGTCGTCCATGGTGTGGTATGTGTGGTGGCTGAAGGGTTCTGCCGATTTTGGGTTTTGAGGATATCGCTGTTGGCCTGCTGGGGTTGCGTATCTTTGTTTGGCCATGTCATCAGTCCATCGTTTTGGATGGTGGACTTCAGGACGGAGTGATGGGTCGATCTTTTGTTTTTTGTGCGGCGCATCTTTGAGATGATCGCCCAGCTCGGTACCTTTTTTGAAGTAAGGATGTGGCTACGCAATGCCATCTACCTGGCCC